CCCCCCCCCCCCCCCCCCCCGGGACAGCCCTGCATATGGCTCTTTCTTCCAACTTACTGTGCTGTTATAGCATGGTGTTTGTTAGTAAATAATTAAGATGTTGAACAGTACTGGACCCAGGACAGACTCCTGGAGAACCTCACTTGATACTGCCTCCCAACTAGACATTTGAGGACTGCTCACTGAATACAGTGACCCAACCAATTATCTATCCACCTTATAAAATAGTATTTTGCCTAGTATGTCTTTCCTTAGCTTGTTAGTGAAAATATTATGGGAGACAATGTCAAAAGTCTTGCTGAAGTCAAGGTATACCAGGTCTGCTCATCTCCCCTCATCCACAGAGCCTCTCACTTTATCATAAAAGGATAAGTTTGGTCAGGCATGACTTGCTGTAAGTGCATTCATGTTGACTGCTCGTGATCACCTTCCAGGTGCTTCATGATAGATTATTTGAGGACCTACTCCAGGTACGGAGGTCAGGCTGACTGATGAGGTACGGAGGTCAGGCTGACTGATGTGTACTTCCCCAGATCCTCCTCCTTTCCCTTCTTAAAGATGGGCACTTTATTTGCCTTTTTCCAGTTGTATGGGACCTCACCCAACCTCCACGAGTTCTCAAAAAGGATAGCTAATGGCTCTGAAATTACCTCGGCCAATTCTGTCAGTACCCTTGGGTCCATCCCATATGGTCTTATCAACTTGAAAACAACTTGCTTCTCTGCCCAGTCTCCAACCTGTTCTGTTATTACTCTAGCCCATTTGTCTCCCATCTCTGCTGCCATCTTCGTTTGTCATCTGGTAGCTGCCCCTGTTTGTGAAAACAAAAAAGCATTAAATAGTTCAGATTTCTCTGCATTGAATGTTACTAGATTTTGTATTCTGTAAGGGGCTTATGGAATCTCTGGTTGTCTTCTTACTTTTGACATACCTATAGAATCTATGTCAATTGCCAGCTGCATCTAAAATTGTGCGTTGGCCTTCCTGATTTTTTTCTTCATGCTTGTGGCATACTCTTTTGCTCTTCCCTGGTACTGTGACCAAGTTTCCATTTTTTTTTTTTTTATAGGATTCTTTTTTTATGTTTCAACTCTTTGAAGAGACCACTGTGTAGCCAGGCTTATCTCCTGTTGTAATTCCCATTGTTCTGTCACATCAGGATAATTAGCTCCTGTGCCTTTAAGAGAGTCTCTTTAAATACAGCCAGCTCTCCTGGACTTCTTTTCTCTTTAGAGTTACCTCCCAAGGGATCCTGCCCACCAGGCCCACCTGAGTTTGGTAAAGTCTGCTTTTCTGAAGTCCAGTGTCCTTAATCTGGTGCTCTCCTTCCTTTTTCCCCTTAGTATCTTAAAATCTATCACTTTGTGGTCACTGTCACCCTTATTACCTTCCACCTTCATATTCTTAGCCAGTTCTTCCCTGTTTGTGAGCAGTAAATCAAAAAGAGCTTCCACCTTCCCTGGCCTCTCTGTCATCTGAATCAGAAAGTTATTCCCAGCACACTCAAGGAACTTGCTGGACTGCTTGCACACTGTGTTTTTCTCCCAGCAGATGTCCTGATAATTAAAGTGCCCCATGAGAACCAAGTCCTGTGATTTGGAAGCTTCTGTCACTTGTTTAAAGAAAGCCTTGTCCACTGTTCACTGGATTAACTATTCTTGCTAAGATTTCAGCAGGATTTTTGAGCATCTTCCCTAGATAAAACAGATGTGTAGCTAAGAAAACCAAATTTATTGCAGAAGGGAAAACGCTGTCCACAGTCTTAATATTAAAAGACCATCATCCTGAATATTTATTTAATTTCTTAAGAATAATTTTTTAGGTATTGAATACTAAAGGGCAATATGAAGTACTAAAGAGCAAATTTGATTTGCTCTTTTTTATTTAAAAAATAGAGCCATGTAAAGTATTGTATAAATATTCTATAACAACAAAGTTTTGAGTTTAATTTGTATACATTTTTATTTGGTTTTAGAAAAGAGCAAACCTATATTTCTTGCGTGCTAACAAAGTTTACTGTTATTTGCAGATACTTTGAAAATGTCTGAAAATTCCAGTGACAGTGATTCATCTTGTGGCTGGACTGTCATAAATCATGAGGTACTGTTTCACAAATAATATTAAAGGATTACTGTTAACTTAAATCATTTTATGTTGCTGTATCTCTCTCTTTCCCTTTTGTTGTTAGTAAATTTCTGATTTGGGTGTATCTTTCGGACAGCAACACAGAAGAGCATAACCCTTTTAAAAAAAGGAAAATGTAATTAAACTACAAAAAAATTGCAGTTGAACTTGGAGGCTGGTTACAGTATCTTGTGTAGATTTTAACACTTTTTTTAAACGATTAGACTACATATAGGTTTCCTTTTAGGATATTGACAGCATTTGGTCTTTTTTTCCTCCATTCTATCTTTCCACAAAACAGACATTGTGTTTTTTGTTCTGTTGTTGCCAGCATCGTCTCTTTCTCTTCACCACTCTCTTCCCCCCATTTTGCCCTCCTTCCTGTCCTCCCAAAAATATTAATGCAGGTGACCAGATGCAGATGTTCTTTCAGGTTATATGCTTTCACCATCATATATTTGAGCATACCTGCTGATCCATTCTCAATCCCGGAGCTTCTCTTTCTCTGTTTCTATGTAGAGTCATGGCAAGAGGTCAGAGATTATTGGTAAAAGCCTCAGATTTCCAAGGGCTTAACCAGCTTTTCCTTTTGCCAGTCAGGCTTCTACACCGTAGCCACTGATGGCATTCAAGGGTGAGTGCTAGTGTAGCAGGGCTCTAAGTGTTTTGTGTGACTCTGATCAGAGTGTGTACAGATGTGTCAATAAAAACTCCACTGGCTTCTGGTACTTTTGCAATACCCCTCCCATTCTTGCCACTTTTGGAAGACACCTTTTGAAAAGCAAAAGGAAAGTAGTATAAAAGGGAATAAGAACTGTGCTACAAGGTCAGTGAGTCCTTCAGAGAATGGGCTGTGAGAAGAGAGTTGCATAGATCAGTGCAACAGCATAAACAGATTAAATGGAATATGTCCCAGGAAAGATTTATCTTAGCCTGCTCCACTCTGTTGTACTAGATAGCAGTCCTGATTAATAAAGTGTACCCGAGCTCAGATTTATTCTAACCACAGTGTTGAAATAGACCAATAAAAATTAAAATAAAAAAATGTATAATTTTAAAATGAAATAAGATATGGATAGAGGAGAAATATATCACACTTTCTTCACATTTATTCATGGCTCAAAATTCTGTTTCTTCCCATCGAGAAACTGGAGAAAATGTACCAGCTGTGGAGCTGCAGTACTTGTACTAGCTCTGTAAAAGCTAATGGGGGACCTTTGTCTTGAATATAAACCTCAAGGAGGCACTTCCATTCTTTTTCATTTCACAAGTTTTTTTCCTCTGTGTTCATTATTGCTTTCAGTACAAGGCTATTTTCCCCACTTAAGACCTTGCATGCCTCTCCCCTGTTTTTTATGAGAGGGACTCTGGCTGATAGGCTTGACATGAAATCAGCATAAGCCTTTGGGCTCCTGTGCAGGCAAGTTTACTTTTCCCTACCTGTGGCACTGATTTGTGTTGAGAAGAAAAGCTATAGAAAGGTAGGAGGAGAAATCTACTCTAGTTAAATTTGGCTATAAAAATCTCCCTCTAGCTTTGGCGTCCCTTGAGAACTGCGGGGAGACCAGTAGTGTTCCACCAAAGTTTCCCTAGTAATTGCCTTGGGTAATAGCAAAAAGGATGTAAGGTTGAAGAATGGAGTGGCGGGCCAAGGTTCCCTAATCTGATATGGTGCAGGAACCCAAACTTTTCTCTTGGGAGGTGATAGATTCTCTTTGCCTCTGGCAGGACCAAAGGAAGATGTGGGTTCTCCAACAAGTGAAAAGTTTTATACATCAAATACCTTTGATTTCAACTCGGAGAGGAAATGTGGGGACAATTGCCAGATTTTTGTTAGCACTGTGGGGTGATTCATGATTTTCTGGTGTAAAGTGCTGAAAGAGCCTTCCTAAAAGCATAGTATATTTCTCAATAGAAACAACACTTTAGAGAAAAAGAAAACAGTAAATAATCTACAAATCTGTCTGTCTTACCTAAATACTTACTTCACTCTGATGGTAAATCTCCAGTGAATTCCTCTGTATCTTTCTGTTTCCCTGAATCACTGCTGCTTGTCTCTTGAAGATGATTCTTGTCCTGTGCTTGGCAGGTCAAACCAGTGCTGAAAGCCAGAGTCCCCAGAGCAGAAGTTCTGGCATTGTGTCTTGTGTCAGGTGCTAAACAGCTGTGTAGAAGTATCTCTTCTTTCCTGCTTGTATGCCAGACAGCCCTCCATTGACTTAACTCACTATATTAATACAGTAAACATCAATATCTAGGTCAATGTACTACATTCCTAAATTACTGTAGGGCAGTTACAAATCCTTCATAATCCCAAACCTAGGACTATTGCATAGGCCAGTTAAGACAAATGTTGATGGCTGCTGTGTGCTTGGGAATGAAGCGTGATCAAGATATCAGGGTTAGGACTGACCGTGCATCAATTTTGTGGGAGTCAAGCTGGATCAAGCAGCTATGCTGGGTTTTCACTAAGGACAAATATTGTTGGAACTCAAGCAAATACAATTACAGAGGTAAAATGGCCCCTAGGGGGACAGGGAGGTGCTAACCTGAGGGGAGAGGATACCTTTTTAAGGGGAAGTGGGGAAGAGTGCCTGACTAACTTCTGTTTCAGTCTAGGCATATAACCAGTAGATGCTCCCACTTACTGATGAAGGAAATGCTTTGTCTGCATTTGAGCTCAAGGTGCTGTAGGTTTACCCTGTCAAGGCAGAGTAGTACGGTATGGAAAAATGTTTAGCTGGACTAAAGACAACATATGAAGAGAAACTTCATAAGCCATAGAAAATTTACACTGCGTAGTGAAAGGTCTGTAGGTTTCAGAGCACTTCAGACTAGCAGATCTGTGATCCTCTGTTTTTGTTGCAATAAGAACTGGAAAGAAAGGGGGAAACACAAAGCTGGGATTAACTAAGTTAAATCAGTGGGAAAGATAAAGGATGGTTTCCAGTGAATTGCATTTTCATTACTGAAGTACTAATAGGAAAGGATGTATTAGCAATTATGAAATACAAAGTTTCAAAGAAGACAGTCATATAAACCGATAGCCCCTTCCTATGAGCAGGAGTCCTGGAACTGTTAAGGAGTGGCAGGAATTTCACCTCCCTTCTAGCCCTTCCCCCATGCACTCTGCTGATCAGTAGAGCAGGTGGAGCGGGGTAGGCACATGGTAGGGTGAGGATTAGAGTAAGAATTCTTGCCCCTGTTGCGAGAGCCCTGGCAAGAGCTGGTGTTCTGACAGTAGCACTGCTGGGGGTGGCAGAGAGGAGAGCTGCCAGCTGATCACTGATAGTTTGCCTCCTTCCCTGGCAGGGGAGAGGTAGGCTGTCAATGACAAGGCTTCTCTGATGGTGGAGAGACTCAATGAACAGCTCTTTATTGTCCCCAAGATGGAGAGCTTACCTTTTAAGGTGACTTTGTACTTCCCCAGGCAGGGGGCTGAAACACCCATGTGCCCCTCTTCTTGCCATGTTTTCCAGTGCTGTAGATTTCCCTGAAAATGGCTGAAATTGAGAGTCTGTCCATAGCCTGTGTTACTTAATGTTACAGCATAGTTAAACTATGCAGTGGGAATGCTGTTCACAGGTTCATTCCCTTTTATTTAAAGGAAAGTAGATTCCTTCTAGGAGTGCTTCTTTGTAAGAAGGCAGTTGCTATTGGCTTGTATCATCATAGTGCTTGTTGACATAAGTGATAACAAAACACATAAGTGGAATGTATTTTCATTCAGGTTTTAATAAATGATTTTTGTTTCTAGTTGTGGCATATTTTTAGAAACTATTGAGATGAAAACATGTCGTCAGTAGAGAGAAAAAAACCACAAAGTGGTTTCACTTAATTGTGAAACTATCCTAAAATGCAAATAACCTAATAACTTTATAACTGAACATTAATTTTTTATTGAAAAATATTTTAGTGTGAACTATTTGGGGTTTCTGATATTCCTGAAGTTTCTGGTTGACATAAGCACCCTCTTTAAAAAATAAAACCTGTTTTCTTAGCTGGTGGAGTGGGGCAGAGGGGAAACTGATCTTTTGCTGTAATCTCACACCTGTTGCTGCAGAAGTGGTGAACTCTGTTTACAGAAACAGTTGGAGTTGGTCTTGATCCAAGGTGAGTTAGTATTTTTCCCTTGGTCACTGTGGTTAAATATTTTTCTAACAAGCTTGCATGTATTTCCACTTGGACTTTTTCAGTAATGTTGCTTTATGAATATTCACTATCCAAACAATATTATTAGTCATTGCAATGTTGGCGACTGTATTGCTAAGGTTCTGTGCTCTGCAGATTCCTGGTTCTGTACATTTTCTGTCTCAGTTTAGTTTTGATGCTGTCCCAGACTTGTTAATTTAGGATAGGCTTTAAAAGCTATACTGCAGTCTAGTACAATTACTTCTATATTATATATTTTCTGTTGTGCTAGTGTCAGGAATGTCTTTTGCTTTCTTTGTGAAAATCAACCAAATTAAGACGAGTTGTAATCTGGGTTAGGGAGGATAGGGTTGCAGTAGTAACTTGTTGGAGGCTGGCAGCTAAATTATCTGAAGATTCTATCTGCCCCAGATATTGCATCCACTTGTAGCTCTTGCACACAAATTGGACTGTCCATAGGCTGAGCAGGATTTTCACTTTCTCCTTTAGATAGCTGTGGCACCAGGTAAGGGAAACTGCTGTGCTCTCAGTGCTGCTCCTGTTGGCACCCAGGCAGCAAGGAGGAGGAAGCAGCCTGAATTTAATTCAGAGTAGTGAGGAACTGCAATTATAAGAGAGGCAGGAATAGATGCAGGAACAAGAAGGCTCAAGAACATTGGAATAGCTGTAATATAGAGAGGAAGGGCAAGGAATGTTGGAGGGGAATATAGGCAGTAATGGATGGAAGCAAGGACCTTAGCCCCCTGTAGCCACCCCTCCCAGTGCCGCCACCTGCCTGTAGAGGTGCAGCATGGCATGGCACTCCCGGCTTGAGCTGGCTCAGCCCTGTGCATGTGCGCAAGTGCATGGACACAGCTGGGCAGCAACTCCCTGCCAGTCAGTGCAACAGGTGCCGGTGGGGAGCAAGATGCAGCCATGGATGGGTTGTGTGTGTGGGGGGGAGCTGCCTCATAGTGATTGAGAGTGGGGGGGTCCTGTTGGGGGAGCGTGTGTCTGTGTGCATGTGTGAGCATCTCTGCATGTGCATCTGTTTGTGTGTGTGTACGTGTATCTGTTCGTTGCAGGGAGAGTGTGTTTGTGTCTGTAACAGGCTGGCCTTTCAGGGCCAGGTCTCAGTGCCGGCCACCCACCTGTTCTAGGCTAAACCCCTACCACACTTGCCTGTCATACCTTGATGAAACTAATAGGAATGTTATTTCTAAAGTGGGAGGCTGCCCACTGTTCAACCTCTTGATAACAAGGGCCTAAGTACATGCTCTGACCTCTCCTTACACATGTCCCATGCCTCGCAGCTGTTTCTAGGTCACATCCAGTATTTCCATATTAGCCCCTATGATTATATGCATTTCCCCAAGTCAGTAGTTCTGCCTTTCACTAGGGCTACTCATCTTTACCACTCTCAACTGGGCCGCTTCACTCGCCTGGCTACTGACTGGGCTGCTAGGGTCTTTCACCCTGTGGGGCTCAGGTGGCTGCTGCATTGCCTGATTCCGCTACACTGGGCTCAGGTGTCCCCCTGTGGGCTTGCCTGGCCCAGGTCTCATCCCTTTTTAGCAGCCACCCATAGGTAGGGGCTGGGTTTTTCAGGCACCCCTCCTCACCTTCTACCAGGGTAGTAACTGGCCTGGCATTTCTGGGGGACTGTTCCACGACAAACAGCCCCACCAGACCACCCTTCCCTCGCAGGGTGCAGTTTTAGGTCTTACCTAGGATCAGGAGCCTCCAAACCATCGCCATCGCTCCTACCTTTATCTCCAAGATGTTCCAGGAGCAGCTCAGCCTGATGTTGCCTCCTGACTTGCTCATCACAGACTGCTGCCTCTCTTTCTGAGGGCCTGGGTTAAAATGGAGGCTGCTCCACCCCCTCAGGTAATGCCAGGGTCCTCCTAGGGTC